TTTGAGAAGCGTTACAGGTTTTCTGTGTGAAGCTTGAATTTTACACTGGTCTGAGGCTTCCTCCAGTTATGCCCCTCCTGCATTAATAATGTACACTGAGCTTGTTCTCTTTGACTCTGTTAACTTGCAGGTTCGGTAATACTTTTCAAAGACAACATTCCAGCGTATTAACCAAGAGGTAAACGCCGAGCTGACTGTTGGAGCCATGTTATTAAAGCTGCTGTTTTTCTAACGGCCACTAGGGGGTCTAAAGGTCTGTGTTGTTAAGATAAAGAGCATTTGAATCATTAAAAAGCCCACTGGGGTCTGTCCACATGGACATGGTGTGTGAAAGGAATCAGGGTGCAACCTTCCCTCTCAGCCTCTCTGTTTTTTTATACAGCTACTTCTGTCACTTTTTGTGCACAGAACACTCTGGATACCTTCAAAACTGCTAAGTTAAGCCATTTTCTTCCTGAATCAGTAACAATCTTCTCATCTCTCTGCAAGAAAATAAATTAGCCTGTTTCCCAGAACGTTGAACTGTTCCTTTCATTTCTAAGCATTTTCTGAACAGCGATGTCACAGATATTCAGTAAACTATGTTGGACCCAGGAGTTCTGTCATTGTCTGCTGTGACTGTTGTACCAGCAGTGCTGCAGCAGCCTGGCCTGGTGTGTGTGCATGTGCCATTCAGGGCTCCTGTAATTGGGGAGACAAAGAAAGAAGAGCAAGCTAGGTTTTAACAATCCCACTTCAGCAAGGCTCCATCAGCCGTGAAACAAAAAGGACCCAGTGATTTATCCAGCACAAGGAGGAGGGGGTAGGCAGCAAGGAATTATCCGGAAAGGTCATCCTCAATTTCTGTCCAGAAATGATCTTTTCCCACTATGTAATAAACATTTATCTGATCCCTTTATTGGCTTTATTAGATCTGACAGTTTAGTTAAGCCATTTCCAGCCGCCGCCGCAGGTCGTGACAGTTAACGTTGCGCAAAAAGCTCCATTGCCTAGGTTTGTATTCACTGGGCTGAGGGGGCAAGGACAGTAGGTCTGGGCCTGTCATTATTACCACTGTGAAACAAAGGCTCTGCAGACCTGCTCGTGCACATTTAGATGCCCATAAATATCCCTCCAGCACATGGCGGAGCAGGACACCCAGACACTGGAGCAGACTGGGCGCTGTGTTTAAGGTGAACATCTGAATGGCTGTGATTGTTGTAAAAGCTGCACTTATGTAAGTGGTGTTGGGGTTGATACACACATCATGACAAAGGTGATTTAAACTAGATGCAACAAATTGCAAGGTCATATTTTGTGCCAACTACAGTAGAGAGCCATGACGGGGTTCTAGTAGTCACTGCATTCATATGCCAGTATCTTAAAGCAACGTACAGCAAACAGAGCTTTAAACAAATTAAGTGAAAACAAAATTCTGAACTCAGCACAGAGACCAGACCACAGTCCTGTAAGCAAATAGCCTTTCACAACAATAACAGACAGTTTTAACATGTTTGTATTCAACTACAGTTAGGACACGTCTTCAGATCGTTACTACGTCCTGTTAATTAATAATACAGTCCTGGATCTGCACCGAAGACAAACCACTCATTGTAATATAACTGAAACCTCCTAATAGTTTTGAAATATCCCACTAGTTAGTACACAAAGAAAACAGATAGATAAAGTACTCACATATTTGGCATAAACTGAGCAGGCACAGGATAAAAACATTTCATTTCTATTGCTGTTTATAAGCCAATAAAGGTATATACATATATTATTGAGGAGTATTCAGATGAATTTAGACTAGCACCATATTTGGAAGCAGTGGTGAAAAGTATCTGAGTACATTTACTTAAGTACTGTACAATTTTGAGGTATTTGTACTTGAGTATTTCATTTTGTGCTAAGCAATGTTTTGACCTCATGACATTTTAGAGCCAAATACTGTACTTTTTACTCCAGTATATAGTATTTGATAAATTTAGTTACTAGTTACTTTTGAGAAACTGATTAACAGAACAAAATACAGTATAATAACATTTTATTGATCCCTGGTTGGGAAATTATCAAGACACCCATCTGTACTTTAAATTATAAGCATGTAAGGTAGTTAAATAGGCTCCACCTTTACCAGCTGCAACATTAAATGTAATGTACGTAATAATCCATCAGTCATTATCATTAAAAAATATAATATACATCAGTGTGAAATGTGCTAATGAGTAATTTAGTACTTTAGGTCTATTTTGATGCTGATACCTTTGTACTTTTATTTAAGTCCATTTTGAATGCAGGGATTTGACTTGTTACAGTGTATTTTTAAACTTCTTCTTTCACCACTGTTTGGAAGTAATGTTCTGTTGTGTTGGGTGTAACTGAAATGTCACCGGTTCGATCCTGACATTGGAGCCTGTAATCGGCCGCTGCTGGAACGGACAGTGAGTGTGTGTGAACGTGCAGCGTTCACAGGCCAATATGTTGATGGAAGTAATGAAAGCAACCTGCCGTCTAGTGATTAGCAGGTTACACATCCCTTAGAAACGCTGCTTTAAAGACACGCTGCCATCCTTCTGTGATGACAGCCAATCCTGCTGTTGATGCTTGCATCAGTATGCAGCGATAATGGTGCGGTTGCAGAAACAGTTGGGGTTGTAAACAACGTCTGTCATTCAGTTTAATAGAGTTGGGGGCATTGTAATGGCTTCGTACCGCTCTCGCATTCATGCACCAAATGTGGAGAGTAAAAGTGCTGGAAGATCACTTTACCTTTTAAACAGATTAAATAAACCTTCCATCTCTTTCATAGTTCTTCAAGGGCACCCCCACCCTGCATCCTGTCAACCCCCCCACTGCAACTGCACAATATATTCTGTTTCTGTTTTAGTCATTTGTGCAAGCAAATGACAAAAGCTCTTTGAAATGAATTCTTATTTGTCTGTTTGAATGTTGCTGCATTTACTCAGCTGTCGTCGGGTGAAATACAGTCCATCTCCGCCACATTACCCGCTGCCTCCTTCCCCTGCTTGACTGATAAGAACACCACATACAGTATTTTCAATCCTCTCTCAAATAATGACCAGCCAGTGCACCCGTGTTCCTCCTGTTTGAGAAAGTGCTTCTTATTAGGGAGATTTATGAGGTCTCCTTCTCGCTGCTCTTGTGGTAGACCAGCCACCTCAGAATTAGTCACTGGCATCCCAAGGTTAATTAGGTTGATCATGTCTTTAAATAGCAGGACCGTCATTGCTCTTCTCTTATGCCTGGCTCTCTACTCCCCTGGTTCCCTCTGCTGGATTGCAGGGAAGACTGCTCATCGACTGGGCTCCCATTCAGCAGTTGTCAGGTTTTGTTTTTTTTTTTACCAGATCCTGGCTCCTAAAGTGGGGCAGGCGGGCTAAGTTAGCGCGAAAGTGAAGTTGTCACTCAGAGACAGAGGAGGTGCGGTGCAGTGTGGGCCGGAGGAGCTAACGGTTTGCCTGCGCCTCGCCTCCAATCCAGACCATCTGTGGCCCCAGCTGGAGTGCCAGCGATGGTCTGGCACTTGTACCGCGCCATATTTACAGATCTAAACACAAATGGCTACTGCCTGATTGTTTCACGATTCATTAGTCAGACAAGCTCGGCTCTCGCGCCAGCCCAGCTGTTACAGAGTAAACCTTTGTCACTTAATAGGGCTGCTTATTGCATCCCCATCAAACGTATTGATCTGTGGCCTCCTCTCTTAAGGCGAGGTGACTGGGAGCGTGGGGATAGACAGGAGGAGGAGACTGAGACATGGAGGGGTCAAGAGGACGTACCGGGGGTTTACTAAAACATGATCCACCAGGAGAGGTGTGGGTGAGAACAGAACAATTCAACTGTTGATTTTCAGTAGCTTTTGTCATGTCACATTGTCATGTCAGTGAAAACCACTGGAGGTTTTCAGAAGTCACTTATCTGGTCTGTAAGGAACTTGTTCACATTTCACTGTGTACAGGGATTTTAAACTCTTATAGTGTTTCACTGGAATGAAGACCTGCAGACTCTCTGGCTGCAATGGCACATGGAAACTGCCTTGTTTTGTTGTTGTTGTTGTTGTTGTTTGCAAATCAGACTTACTTGCAAAAAAATACCGTGGACAGGCTCCAGTGGTTTGTCCAGAGTCAGCAACACCTTCCACCAGGTTTTGTACCAATTTTAAAGAAAACTGTTTTGACCCTACATACACTGTGAGGTGAATAGCAGCACTCTGCAGGAGAGAAAGTGGAATTTGACCAGATTTAATGCAATTTTCACAAGCACATCGGGTAAGAGGAAGCCAACAGTTTGCTAAGACTGCATCGTGGGTACATTTGTTCACAGTTAGTGACAGTGACAGTTTCATAAACATGTTGTACAATATGGTCAAAGTAACATGTCGTCCTCTGGATGACCTCTGGATCTGGATGTGCATTGTTCTGGTTTAGGCCCCTTGTTCAGTTTGAAGGAAATCTTAATCCTACAGCATAAAATCTTATTTTATATAACAGTATGGCAACATTTTGGAAAGGTTTCTGTTTAACATGACAATTCAATTCAATTCAATACAATTTTATTTGTATATTATATTTAATAATATACATAATAGTGATAACAGTAAGGTCTAGACCTTACTTTGTAAGTGTCCTGAGATGACTTTTGTTGTGATTTGGCACTATACAAATAAAATTTGATTTGATTATATTCAGAGGTGTTCCTAATATTCTGACCCTCTCATGTACATATGTCAATGGACAGGACAAAAATATAGAAACCTCTAAATATAATGTAGGCTGGTACACCACCACCTTTAAGTATGACCTTAATTGAATTTATACATTTATGACAATCTCACCAAAAACTGAAACATTTTGAGCTTCATAAACACAAATGTTAAGGCAGAAGTGTTGCACTGAAGTGCATACAGATGTACAGGTGGTCATAATGTTATGCCTGACCGGTGTAAACAAAAACAATCTACCTCTTGTAATGCAGTGGCCTTGTGGCCTGTGACAAGTCTACACATGATGATGTGCTCCAGTAGAATGACCTGAAAAGTAGACAAGATTGGGCTGCAGTCCAACACTGAAACACAATGACAAAACATGGACACAATTAAGTCATGCAAACTTTTTTTTTACAGTTTGAAAATCACTGTTCATTCATGGCACCACAAGTGTGTCACTCACTTTTTAGTATAATAGTGATAACAGTAAGGTCTAGACCTTACTTTGTAAGTGTCCTGAGATGACTTTTGTTGTGATTTGGTGCTATACAAGTAAAATTTGATTTGATGTATTTATTTATTATATTTGTATATTGTTGTTAGTTGGGCTGAATATCAAACCTCAACACTTTCTTGGTACTGAACAGTGTTTGTAGCACTGAGTACTGAAAGACAATATGATAATGACGTTAGAACTTAGATCTTAGCCCCGGTTTCTGTGCAATACAGATAAGGGCTGTGGTTGTTGCTTTGTTTTGTTTTTTTGTGGGGATTTCATCCACTTTACAACTTTTGGTCTCATTTTCACATTTATACATTTTTTATGATTGCATTCACATCCTTAACTCTACAAATGAAATAAAAGGCCAGACCATGTACCTAATGTAAGAAAGCACTCCTTTAAATCCTTAAACAAATCTTAGAGAGCTGCAACCAACTTTATGTTTGTTAGGCCCCGAGTGTTTAGGGGCTACAGGAGCCCCAAGGTCTAGGAGGCCACAGGGCCCCCAAGTGTCTAGGGGCCACAGGAGCCCTGAGGGTTGAGGGGCCCAAAGGGGCCCCAAGAGGCCCCGAATGTTTAGGGGCCGGGCCCCAAGAGCCTAGGGGCTGCCGCGGGCCCCCAAGGGGTCAGGGGCCCTAGGTAACTCAAGGCCAGAGCCTTTGTTTGAAGAGACTGTTAACATTTCTTGTTGGAAAGTCAATCAAATAACTTGACCAGGACACAAAGAGACAAAACTACTAAAAAGATGCAAAATGACAAGTAGACGCAGAGTGATTACACAGTGTCACTTCAAATTCCACTTCAAATTTTATTTGCATAGCACCAAATCACAACAAAAGTCATCTCAGGACACTTTACAAAGTAAGGTCTAGACCTTACTGTTATCAATATTACTATAGAGGAAAGCACAACAAGCCCGAATGGAATGAAGACCTGCAGACTCTCTGGCTGCAGTGGCACATGGAAACTGCCTTGTTTTGTTGTTGTTGTTGTTGTTGTTTGCAAATCAGACTTACTTGCAAAAAAATACCGTGGACAGGCTCCAGTGGTTTGTCCAGAGTCAGCAACACCTTCCACCAGGTTTTGTACCAATTTTAAAGAAAACTGTTTTGACCCTACATACACTGTGAGGTGAATAGCAGCACTCTGCAGGAGAGAAAGTGGAATTTGACCAGATTTAATGCAATTTTCACAAGCACATCGGGTAAGAGGAAGCCAACAGTTTGCTAAGACTGCATCGTGGGTACATTTGTTCACAGTTAGTGACAGTGACAGTTTCATAAACATGTTGTACAATATGGTCAAAGTAACATGTCGTCCTCTGGATGACCTCTGGATCTGGATGTGCATTGTTCTGGTTTAGGCCCCTTGTTCAGTTTGAAGGAAATCTTAATCCTACAGCATAAAATCTTATTTTATATAACAGTATGGCAACATTTTGGAAAGGTTTCTGTTTAACATGACAATTCAATTCAATTCAATACAATTTTATTTGTATATTATATTTAATAATATACATAATAGTGATAACAGTAAGGTCTAGACCTTACTTTGTAAGTGTCCTGAGATGACTTTTGTTGTGATTTGGCACTATACAAATAAAATTTGATTTGATTATATTCAGAGGTGTTCCTAATATTCTGACCCTCTCATGTACATATGTCAATGGACAGGACAAAAATATAGAAACCTCTAAATATAATGTAGGCTGGTACACCACCACCTTTAAGTATGACCTTAATTGAATTTATACATTTATGACAATCTCACCAAAAACTGAAACATTTTGAGCTTCATAAACACAAATGTTAAGGCAGAAGTGTTGCACTGAAGTGCATACAGATGTACAGGTGGTCATAATGTTATGCCTGACCGGTGTAAACAAAAACAATCTACCTCTTGTAATGCAGTGGCCTTGTGGCCTGTGACAAGTCTACACATGATGATGTGCTCCAGTAGAATGACCTGAAAAGTAGACAAGATTGGGCTGCAGTCCAACACTGAAACACAATGACAAAACATGGACACAATTAAGTCATGCAAACTTTTTTTTTACAGTTTGAAAATCACTGTTCATTCATGGCACCACAAGTGTGTCACTCACTTTTTAGTTTCTCTAACTGCATAAGAGCCTTGTCTGTGTACTTCTGGGCTTTCTCCAGATAGCCCGCTTGCATGGAGTGCATTACTGTCACCTGTAAAATGGCAAGAAACCAATTAATAAAGTGGATGTAAAAAAAAAGAGAACGAATTAAAGTGCCAAGGTATCTATACACAGAATTTGACTTTGCAAGTCACAGTAACCATATCTCTGCTTCACTGCAGGTGTGTCAAATTACCCATTAGGATAATACCAACAGCCTCACCAAAAGGTGTTGGTATGGATTTTCTTTCAATCCTAATCTCTACTCTAATCCCTAAAATACAGTGTATGTTGGTATGTGAAGTGGGAGAATTTGTACCAGTTCGAATGCGGTATGACCACATGCAACACACAGAAACAAATCTAAGGCATACATCCCTTGATGATGTTTTCAAAGATTATAAAGGTTTAAGGGGCACGGAAAGAGAAGTGGCATTACCAAATACACGAGGACACACATGTGCTCCTTGGGCAGCCAGTGGAAGAGGTCAGCAGGGTTACTGGGTAGAATCTCATCATCATGGAGAGTTGAGATAGCCTGGATGCACTGCTGCAGCTGCTTCAGGCATGGCTTCACACTCTTGACCTGAGGAGACACAGACATGATAAACAATCCTTTCTTACTTGGAAGCTTTTTACACCCAGACATCCTCCCCGTATACTTAAAACTGATGCATGCAACAATTTTTCTGTGTGTTAACAAAACTGTCATTTAAATCAGTATAATCAACTCCACCCTACCTGTCCAGCATCCAGGTAGTGTGTGACCTGTAGGACCAGGAAGAAGACCCTAAGGGACTCCTTTTGGATTGGGTTTCCCTGCCAGTTTTCTACAATAGTTCCACACAGTGTGAGGAGAGGATGCACCTCCCCGAGTTTCCTCTCCATTAGCAGCAACTAGAGGGTATGAAAACATCACCACAATGAAGACGTAGAGAATTTAATGTTGCTTTTGTTGTTTTTAACTCATATGGCGGTATTATTATGGTTGTGAATGTAGGTATTGTTATATGATTGATGTATATAATAAAAACATTCACATAAAATTGCAAGAAGAATTGTAATGTGTTGGTGAACGAAATCTAAGCTTTGTAAGTGTTTATAACACCAAAGAGTAACAGCACAAATAAAGTGAAGTATAAGAAGAAGACTTACCATTCCTTTACTAAGGAGAAACAATGCCCTAAAATAAGCAAACACATCAAGTCAGTTTATTTAGCTTAGTACATACTAGGTGGTTTTTCTGAACCCACAATGAAAAGAAAGTGTAAGGAACATTTGGTTTCATCTATAGGTCGAGAATAAAATTGGCAAAGTAGTCAAAACAGTACTTTTTACAATAAACAACTTGATAAATGTATATGGTGACACTGGCATTTGTGTGTGGGAATAAGAAATCAGCAACAAAACAGACTCGTTAAAAGTTTTATAGTCCACATCCCATGAACTGATTTGGGACAACTCATAAAATGGCAAAATCTCCATACAAACCGATAAGGAGTTTATCACTGAGGGTGTATAGGCTGGACTAAGACTCATAGTTCTGCTTGGTCTAAAATATTTTGTTTACATGCACCCAAAATGAATTGTAATGTCTAGTAAAACTGTAAGCATTATATGCTAAATGTAATGTTTGCAAACATCACATGGTCATATGAGATGTACCTGGTATATTCTGAGCCCACCACTCGGGCATACTCGGCCCCAACGCCCAGCAGGTCACACGCTGACACCAAGTCTTTCTCTAGTGTATGAAGTTGCTGAAAGAGACAATAAAAACATTGCTGTCATCACTTGGGACTGTTACTATTTGGACATGAAGTCCAAGAGTGACAAAAACTGCTTTTACACTGTCAACCAGAGCTTTGGGCTGTTGTGAATCTGTCTAACATCAACTCAAATCAATGTGGACCTGCATATGAAAATGACTTTAATGAAGGACACAATGTCACCCTAATAGGGACACATACATACATACCGCCAGCTGGAACAACAATCTGCAGTGCCAGTATGGTGTTTGCTGTGAAATCTGGATGGCCTTGCGCAGTAGGGGTTTTGCAGAGTCCACCAAATTCTGAAAATTGATTACAATAATCAATAAGTAATAGTCAATAACACATGCTCAGCCTATACTGCACGTAACACCACATACGCAGATTCTAATACTCACTCAGTTTCACTTTGTGGTGAGTGAAAGAAACTAAGCTTATTGTACTTTTAGCTTCATAAACATATTTAACACTAACATCAGCGTTACTTAAATTGCTTACCTGCTGGCAGAAGAGTTCTGACAATATGCTGGCAGCTTCAAATTTGACATCTTCAAACTGCGGGACCTGTTGAGATATAAACCACTGCAAGACAAAAGGTACACAATGTTGAGCGGCGAAAGATTGGCAGTGTTTGCACCGATAAAAAAAATCCCGTATAGTTAGTGGCTAACACTAGCGAAAGAACGAAACGATCGACTCGGACGATTATCTATTAATGCAATTAACCAAATGAAGACGCTAACGAGTCTAAAATTCTAACACGGTATTTGTTATTACTAATATAAGCTTCCTGAATGAACGGCTATATAAAAACTTCCCCTGTTGGCTGTTATCGCCGCCTGTGGCCTACACCCGTCCCCTCTCCCCTGCATCCCCGCTCTTTCCCAGAAGAAACTTCCCTCACCGCTTTCTCCAGGTGGCTGCGGGCCAGATCGCTATTCTTGGTGTGATGATAAAGAACCGAGCCCAATTGAAGATGTGTTCGGGCCTCGATCCTCTGCGGAGGCTTAAACTGAAAAACGGCCTGTAGACAGTGCACGCAGAGACGGATTTTAGGCGGACTAGAGGTTCGAAAATGCTCCGCAAACCCGAGTAGGGCGAGGTACCAGCGCTCCGGGGACTCTACGTTTGACGCCATTTTCCCCTACAACAACAACTTTTTCAGCTCTGAGGCCAGACTCTTGGGTTGCCAGGTTAGGTGACGTATAACCCCATTCCAAAGCGTCTAAAGCCTCAAAACATTAGTGCTAGCTTTTCTTCCTTTTACTAAATATTTAAAATGTGTTGAGTACTTGCTATTTTCTGAAACATTATATTGATACTTTTTATGCTTCATACACACTATAAAGTAACCATATATCTGAACTCATTATTAAAATGACTAATTTTGCTTTAACAAGGGTTTCATTGATCTGATAACCCTCAGTCAACAGAAAATGAATTGGAAATTCTGATTATTAGGTAGTGTGGTTGAGCAAAAATGCCACCCATTTCTAGTAATGACTTGTGGTTTATCTCTTTTTCATATCATGATTAATCTGATAGCCTACCTTTTGGTGTTGCACTGTTGATAAGGCAAGCAAGCAATTTAAAAATGTTTCCACAAACTCCGGAAATAATGTGTGTTTTTTTTTTATTTCTCATTAATTAAAAAAACTAATCACCACAAAGTAACTAATAATAAAAATAAATGTAAATTGCAGCCCTAAATCTACCTACCTACTTCACTTCATAAAACAGTATGTTCTGTAATGTGTTCAGAACATCTGCAATTCCATGACAAAATGAAAGTGAGTAGTGAAAACACATAGTGAAAACAGCCAGCAAGATCATCGGTTCCCCTTTGCCTTCCCTTAGGGACATCTTCAACACCCGCCTCACCCGCAGAGCCATCAGCATTGCTGATGACACCTCCCACCCCGCAAACTCCCACTTCAGACTCCTGCCTTCAGGGAGAAGGTATCGGAGTCTTCAGGCCCACTCCACCAGACTTACAAACAGCTTCATCCACCAGGCTGTGAGGATGCTGAACACTGTTCACTACCTCCCTCCCTCTGCCCCTGGACTGTAACCCACCACAGAACATAAAAAGACTACCCCTGCTGTTTGCACAAACTCAATACATTCCCCCTTTTGTTATATTACAG